AAAATAATCATGACAGGGAAACAATGCCTTATTTTAGTTTCCTTTTTGTAAGTTTCAATGCATAAACATAAAGCACAGAGTGGTGTGGGGGGGGGAAAGACTAAAGGCTGTTCTGCAATAAAAATAAAAAAAGCAATTCACAGCGCCAAATGCAATATATGACTTCATTATTTCCATTAAACTCAGACATAACCATTCTCAGACAAGACTTTGCATATATCAGTCAGCCTTCATTATGGATGTCCCCAAGGGTGAAATCCAATTTTTTTTACTACCGGTTCTGTGGGCATGGCTTGGTGGGTGTGGTGTGGCTTGGTGGACGAAGCTTGGGCATGGCAGAGAAAGGATGCTGCAAAATCTCCATTCCCATCCCAATCCAGGGGAAGGATATTGCAAAATCACCCCACTCTGGGGCCAGCCAGAGATGATATTTGCCGGTTCTCCAAACTACTCAAAATTTCCGCTACCGGTTCTCCAGAACCTGTCAGAACCTGCTGGATTTCACCCCTGGATGTCCCCTATTTACTTATACCATTTTTGTCTCTCAATAGAATTTGAGCTCCATTCAGTAAGACTGACCATGGTTTAATCTCAGAATCTACTGCATGGGTTTAGTCTTGGATTACATGGAACAATTGACTTTGTGCCTTGGGTGAGTTCCATTTACCTTTGCTACCGGTTCGCAACGGGAGCATGCGCATGCACAGAGCATCCATGATGACGTCTGGGTGGGTGGGCGGAGCCTCCCGCCACCGTTACTACCAGTTCACAAGATCCAGACCAAACCGGTAGCAACCCACCACTGCTTTGTGCCTTGACTAAGAAAAAATGAGAGGCTCCTAACTTACCATCTCCAGTGCAGGAGGGTTATTTTGCTTCAGTCTCTAGCAAAAATGCCCATGAAAGAGTTACCTTGGCTCATGCAAAAACTACTGAATGCCATTGACCAGGGGTGTCGAACTCATATTGTCACGGCAGCGTCACATGCCACGAGAACTTTTTTCCCCTTTGCTAAACCAGGCGGGGGCGTTGCCAGCACATGATACATCCGGCCCATGGGCCGGGAGTTTGACAGCCCTGCCATTGACTGTACTATAAAATGACCTCAAAGGATTACTTCCATTAAGGCTTTGATAAACATGCCTTTTCAAACGGTTTGCACAGCCATCACAGAATAATCAGCCTCTATTCAAAGAGAAATGTGGATCTAAAAATGTGGATCTAAAAATGCCTCATGGCATTTTTTCCTAGCTGGGGCTCCAGAACAAGGTTCTATTCTCCAGTAAGGATAGTGATTGCTACTGCTCCTGACATGGGTAGCAAGAGTTGCTCTAAACAGGTTGTAGTCAGGCTGTAAACATGTCCTAAAGATAGAAACTGCAGGCCCTTGCTGCTACAGATACCCAAAAGAAGGGAAGGTAGACAGTGCAGGACCTATCCTACCTATGGATCCTTAATTGTCAATATGTAGAGGCTAGATATCAATGTAATTCATTGTTAGCTAGCCCAAGAAAAATGGCAGAGAAGACTATGGACAGCTGCTCCAGAGTCCCAAGTGAGTGCATGTCCCATCATGTACAGCTGAACTGGGGGAGCCATTGCCAGCGCAGCCCCTTCCTGCAGGAGCTACTGATGTGAACCTACAAGTTCAGACAGCTACTGATGTGGGCCTACAACCCCATATTTGTTTTGTTTTTGTGAAGAAATGGGAATATTGTGTTTTGTGAGGTTAAGACTTCCTTGACGCATACGTTGAAAACTAATCAGTCTTGTGACTCAGAATGTTCGTATAAGAGATTTTCTTCCATTTTCCAATCTGAGCAACCTTGATCTAGTTTTAGTCTGCTTCAGCAGCCAGCTGGCTCCAAGATGGAGGCCTTGATGTGAGGACATCATAAACAGTAATCAGGCTATCTTGAAAGCAAGGTAAAGAGATATATGAATGAGCACAGTGTCCAGATAAGCTACCTGCTTGTTTAATCTTAGTGTTTTATTTTACTTTACTTTTACTTACTCAATTTACTTACTTACTAAGACTCAGTTTAGTCTTAGCGTTTATGTCATTTTACTTAATGTCCCATTTTCATGTGCTGAGAGCATGTAGGAAAGTCTTAACTGTTGAAGGGCAACTTCAAAGCTTTTCTTTCTTGTAGCGCTTTATTTTTAAATCAGACAGCACTTTAAGTAGAGGATACTTTCAAACAAAGAAGTGTCCTTCATAAAGGAGGGCACATTTCACAAGACCACAGTAGCAATTGTTTTCCTTTCTTGAGAATTTTCAAAGAAAGATTAGAAAAACCACCAATCTTGCAACCCAATGTCTCGTATCTTCAAAAATAAATCCCGCAGTTGCTTCCAAGAAAACACACCCAGGTTTGCAGATTCAGAAATTGACTTTTTAGTTAATTCTTCTTTGGAAGGAACTGAACCCATTTCACGAGGGTCAGCAAAAACAAGCTTGCTTTCTGATAACATATTTCATCAGTCAGCGCATATGGTTGTTTTTGGTCTGTCTCAAGGAGGTTGATTCATCTGTCTTATGATTCAGAAAATTTCACCTTAATAAGTTATTTCTAGTACTCTTGATTTTGAAACTTCTTCCTCCTTCCTTCTTTTCTACATTTCCTTTGTTTCATCATAGAGCCTGGCTAGGAATGAGTGAGTGTAGACCTTTTGAAACTCACAATGTTTTCCAAAACTTCCTTGCTTCTCTTAATAATGGAATGATGACATGCGGTTAGCTGGAATGAGGAAAACAACTTCGGAAACAAACATATGGAGAACTAATAAGAAAAGGGATGTTATTTTCATATTTGTTTTCACAAATACAATGAGGATAACATCAGATAGCCTTTTCCAATTGGATTTCTTCCAGATATATTCCTGCTTCCAGGCAGCTGGAAGATAGCAAGCAAGGGAAGGCAGCTGTAGATATTTAGAAGTTCTGTGTTCCAATCAACATGTTATTTTTATCTCTGCCCAGAACAACACTTGTTGGAAAATATTGGGGGTGGTACTAGACAATCCTGAAATAGGAATCAAAGGATTTGCATAGAATCTTATAGTTGAATAAATGACCCTCAATGTTATTTTCTGAACAGTGTCATTTGATTAGCAATACAAACCCATGTATTCCTGCATTAAAACAGCCCCTATTTAAAGTAAAACGATAAGTATGAATGTGGCCAGTTATTTCTGATGACCACACATACAAATCTGCATTGTTTATTTGCAACAACTAAATTATTTACTTGTTGCATCTCAGAAAGCTCAAATTGCCCAAAGAGCTGCTGATTCAGTTCTACAGAGGAATTATTGAGTGTCACCTGCACCTCTATAACTGTCTGGTTTGACTCTGCAACCAAACAAGACATAGACTTCAATGGATAATTAGTACTGCAGAAAAAACAATTGCTACCAATCTGCCTTCCATTGAGGACCTGTATACTGCAAGGGTCAAAAAGAGGGCTGTGAAAGTATCGACAAACCCCTCACATCCTGGACATAAATTGTTTCAACTCCTACCCTCAAAACGACACTATAGGGCACTGCACACGAGAACAACTAGAAACAAGGACAGTTTTTTCGCGAATGCTATCACTCTGCTTAACAACTACTTCCCACAACACTGTCAAATAATTTACTAAGATTGTATTACTATTATTCTTCTCATCCTTCCTAGTGCCTATCTCTTTCCACTTATTACTATAACCATGTTGCTTGTATCTTTACAATTTATATTGTTTTATTGTTTCCTAGTATGATTTGATTATTAGTATCCTACTAAGTGTTGCATTTTATGTTTCTTGATGAATACGTTTTATTTTTTTTCTTTATGTACACTGAGAGCATATACACCAAAGACAAATTCCTTGTGTGTCCAATCACACTTGGCCAACAAAGAATTATATCTATCTATCTATCTTATCTGGCACTGCTTTTATTCTGGGAAGTTTTTTTGGGTGTCCCATTTTAGGTACAACTCAGGATTTCCTGATATTCTCCAATCCAACTACCAAAAAAGTCCTATCCTGCTTAGATTTTCTAGATTACCGCATTTCTACAGTGCTAAACTTGGCGGAACTTGTACCCTACAGCTATTTAGTGGTTTTGAATTTCACAGCTGCCCCATGGGGGCGAGATTGGGCATTCTAATCCAAGACATAGCAGGGGTTGTATTAATTGAGCTCTCCTATCGAGTATCAAGAAGAGGTTTAAATTTTCTCTCTTTACATCTTCGGATTGGAAAACGACGGCCCGAAGAAGTTATTTATTACACGATGCGAACGTGACGGACGGACGAAACGAGTAAGGCTGACTCAGCGCTGGGTCATCTCGACCAACTCTAGAGCAGGGATCTCCAATCTTAACAACTTTAAGACTTGTGGACTTCAACTCCCAGAGTTCTTCAGCCAGGTTTCTGGCTGAGGAACTCTGGGAGTTGAAGTCCACAAGTTTTATAGTTGCCAAGGTTGGAGACCCCTGCTCTAGAGGTTCCCTTGGAAGTGATGCCTCTGGAGCCAAGATTCAGGCAACATTGCATGCTTGAAATAGAGAGTGAAACACTGCCTGCACTTTTGGGGAAACATTTAAACATTGTAGTGCACCGTAGCACTAGCGTTTAACACTGTTCTGTGCACCGTCCAATGTTTACACTGGAAATTAAAGCCAGTCCACTTTTTTTTTTTAAATGAGCATCTCAAAAAATTTCATTTCAAAAGAAAAGCACTTCTTTGAAAAATATCAAAGACTGTTTCACAGAAAGTTAAGGCTTCAGCGTATTATGAGAGTTTGTAAATATTCAGCCGCATTAAATGAATGAATTAGAGCAAAGTATCTTCCCTTCATTCTGAAAGCACCCTTAGAACAATATACAATGATTTAGATTTTTTTTAAAAAAAAGTATTCTCTACTTTTCTATCTCTACGGCTCAGGGACAACATAGACTCCCACCGGCCCGCAACTGTGTTCCTGTGTTCGATGTCACTTCCTTTTCACTGGCGACCTTTCTAGGCGCGCGGGGTTGTTTCCATGGCCCCTTGGAAGGACGAGGTTGTCTCAGTGTTCCTTTCTAGGCGACCGGAGGCCGCGTGACTCGATGGTTCGACGGAAAGAATCAGCTGCGGAGACGGGGCCTGGCGGAGCGGAGCCTGTGTTGTCGTGGCTTCTCGGTCTGGTCGAAGGGAGAGATCGAAGAAATGCGAAGGGTAAATCGGGAGGATTTGGAGGGGAAATGACGGATTTGCTGCTCGATGCCGCGTCCATTGGGAGCAGTGATCGTGAGAATGGGGTGGGGGTGGGGGTGTCGGATGGGCTTCTTTTAGGATGATGCGTCTTTCTTTCGTTTCCTTCCCTGGACAGAAAACCAGCAGGGATGCTGTTCTCCCATCATGATCTAAAACAATGGAGTGGTTTTCTTTCTTTCTTTCTTTCTTTCTTTCTTTCTTTCTTTCTTTCTTTCATTCTTTCTTTCTTTCTTTCTTTCTTTCTTTCTTTCTTTTTTCTTTTCTTTCTTTCCTTCCTTCCTTCCTTCCTTTTCTTTTTTGTAAAGACACTGGAATCTTGGAACTCACGAAAGAAAAAACTCAGCCAGACATGTGTGAGCCATGCCACAAGATCTGTGGTTGGTTGGCTTCACAAACCTCCCCGGGTCAAAACTCAGTCAATTGTGGTTTAGGGGTGACTTGTGAATCCAGTCATTTGTGGTTTGTTGCATAAACAGTTGAGTAAATCATTTGTGATTGTTTCAACTTCTACCCTCAAAAAGACGCTATAGGGCACTGCACACCAAAACAACTGGACATAAGGACAGTTTTTCCCCCAAATGCCATCACTCTGATTAACAACTAATTCCCACAACACTTCTCTGCCTTACTAGTATCTATCTCTTCCCACTTATTACTATAACCATGTTGCTTATATCTTTCAATTATATTGTTTTTATTTGTTTTGTAGTATGATTTGATAGCTTATTAGTAATCTTGACTATCACTGTTGTATCTTTTTATTCTTGATGAATGTATTTTATTCTCCTTATGTACACTGAGAGCATATGCACCAAAGACAAATTCCTTGTGTGTCCAATCACACTTGGCCAATAAAGAATCCTATCCTATCCTATCCTATCCTATCCGACCCCACCCCACCCCACCCCACCCCATCCTATTCTAAAAGCCAATTCGTGGAGCAAGCCCTTCACGTAGCATCTTTCAAGCTTAGTATATGTTGATGGTGAAAAGGTTGCCATGACTGTAGAATATTTTTTTTTTAATTTGGTTTATATGCCACCCTTTTCCGGAGACTCAGGGCGGCTTACAATGCATTAAGCAATAGCCTTCATACTTTTGTATATTTATACAAAGTCAGCTTATTGCCCCCACAAACTGGGTCCTCATTTTACCTACCTTAGAAAGGATGGAAGGCTGAGTCAACCTTGAGCCTGGTGAGATTCGAACTTACAGTAATTGCAGACAGCTGGATGTTAATTACAATGCATTAGTCTGCTGAGCTATCCAGGCTCCTAAGAATTGAAGCTTATCAGGCTTTTGACTCTCTTCCTAACTTGTGTAATGGTGACTGGGTTTCTACATCATGTTACACTATCATGTGATTGGTTTGGGCTTAATATAATGTAGAAATCCAGTCACTGTGATTGGCAGTCTATGTTTTCTGCCTGTTGTTTATGAACCCAATTATTGTAACATAACATCAGTCTGGTTGCAGTCCAAACAGATAAATATATCCATCAGTTAAAATAATGTGTGAGATGCCACCAACTGATGCAGCTTCCAAAGTGCATGTTCAGTCTCAAAACTTGGACCTAATAAATGCTGATCTCTGAACAGATATATAATGTCATTTGGCTTAATTAACCGTTGGAACAGCTTGCCTTCAGAAGCTGTGGGTGCTTCATCACTGGAGGTTTTTAAGAAGAGACTGGACAGTTACCTGTCTGAAATGGTATAGGGCATGGGTGTCAAACTCATGTTGTCACGGCTGCGTCACATGATGTATTGGGACTTCCTCCCCTTTCACTAAACCGGGTATGGGCATGGCCAGTGCATGATGCATCCGGCCCATGGGCCGGGAGTTTGACAGCCCTGGTATAGGGTCTCCTGCTTGAGCAGGGGGTTGAACTAAAAGACCTACAAGGTCCCTTCCAGCTCTATTTTGATTGATTGATTGATTTTCTATTAAATTCCACAGACATAGAGTGAACTACTGTCTATTTTCCTCTATAAAGAAGGGCTTAAGGTCCAAGAGAATGAATTGTGAAGTACCATGTCAAAGACTTGCTGGATGATCAATGTTCTAACCCAAGTATACAGGTTGATTTATGACTATAATGGCGGTTTACGGCAAAAACACAAATTGCAGTCATGTGACCAAAAGGTCTTGCAAACAATAGTAAATGCAGGCCAGTTGCCAAGCACCTGAAGTGTAGTCATATGACTATGGGGAAGAGTGATTTCAGAAAGGGGCCATAAATAGCTTTTTGGGGTCTGTCGTAATTTTGAATGCTCGCTAAGTGACCTGTTGTAAGGTGACAACTAGCTGTGTAGCAGTGAGACCGTCATAGGAAATTTCCTACGATAGGTAGGAGAATGAGATGGCTAAGTAAAATACTTCACAAAGGATGTACTTTTGAGTAGATAGAAAAAATGCCTGCAATTTAATACACTTATCTACAAGTCTCATTAAGTGTATCTGAACTTATTCCTGAACAAATATGCAGTTGTTATTTTACAAAATTAAATAGACATGATAGCAGAAGGATGTAATGAAGACCTTTACTAGTCAATGCAGAAATGGAAATAAACCCACTTACATTGCACTGGGTTGCAAATTAAACTCTAAATTATGATGCTTTTAGGATGAATGTTTCATAGATTTATAAATTTCTGATGAGGAATAAGAATTACTAACTGATATTAGACATGAAGGGGTCATGACTAATATGTGCTCAGTCTTTGTTTTTTTGCAATGAAATGTCAGTAATGGAAGCAGAAAGTTGTATTTGCTGGATCTTTTTCATGGTCAAGAAAGTCAGTTTTTCCATTGTTTGAAGAACAGCTTCCATTTGAAACCACTCTTCTTCTGAATTTTCTAATGGATATTTTATTCATGTTGAATATGTTGTTGTTGTTGTTAGTTGCAAAGTCGTGTCCGACCCATCGTGACCCCATGGACAACGTTCCTCCTGGCCTTTGTGTCCTCTACCATCCTCTGAAGTCCATTTAAGCTCACACCTACTGCTTCAGTGACTCCATCTAGCCACCTCATTCTCTGTTATCCCCTTCTTCTTTTGCCCTCAATCGTTCCCAGCATTAGGCTCTTCTCCAGTGAGTCCTTCCTTCTTATTAAGTGGCCAAAGTATTTGAGCTTCATCCCAAATCATAGTGTTGGATGGAATAATATATACAAATGTAATTCTGCAAGGCTTCCTCTATAAGAATCAGAGCGTGTACTCTTTCCATTCTATTTATCACCTATAACCAGATCTGGAAATTTCATTTATTGTAACTTACCGTATTTTTCGGAGTATAAAATGCACCTTTTTCTCCCAAAAAAAGAGGGTGAAAATCTGGGTGTGTCTTATACTCTGAATGTAGCCCTGCCCAGCTTCTCAAACGGAGGTTCAGAGGCTGAAAAAACCACCAGAAACCAAGCTTCAGAAAAGAAGCCCCCAAACAGAGTTTCAGAGGCTTTTTTTCTGAAGCTGTTTCGGAGGCTTTCAGAGGCAGAAAAAAAGTTTTTTCTGAAACAGAGTTTCAGAAGTTCCAGAGGCAGAAAAAAAAGCAAAAAAACAAAACAAAAAACCAAGGCACAGAGCTCACAACCAAGGAACCTGTTGCTAAAATTCACTTCTGGGAACAGCTGATTGGGATATTTCGGGAGCCCAATCCACCTGCCAATCAGCTTTTTTCTTATTTTCCTCCCCAGAAACTAAGGTGCGTTTTATACTTCGTTGCGTCTTGTACTTTAAAAAATATGGTAATAACTTTCCTATGCCAAACTTCGGTCAGTGTCCTCACTTTAGGAAGCTGTAAGTAAACTGGTAGTATTGTAATTGGAAAAAGATGCAATACAGTTCTTGGATTTTGGAGAAGTTGTACATTAGAATGCCTTCTTTTTGTAGGATTTAATTGGAATGACACAATTTTTTTTCCCTTTCAGGTGCTGATGGAATTACTCTGCATTCTCTAGACAGTGACACGAGAGATTTTATGTTTTAAGACATCCGTGGGTTATTTATATATTTCTATGCAGCCTATGGGCTATTGCTTCAGGAATGGCTCCCCAGTTCCGCAGTTATGTTTGGGATCCTGCTCTTATCATTTCTCAGATCATGCTCATGCAAGCAATCTATTACAGCAGTCTGGGGCTTTGGTTGGCTCTAGTAGACAGTCTGGTACAGAGCAACCCTTCACTGGACCAGATTTTCAGTTATGAGGTAGGTAATTTCATTTTCAGTATGTCAAAAAGAAATTCTGACAAATCAAAATCTTATAGAAGATTTTTAGGAGGAATACTGAAAGCTAACGTATAATGGATTACTTCTCATATAATTTACATTTAAATTTAACGTACTTTTTTGGCATATATTATAAATGAAATCATCAGTATGTCAAAAGTTAACATGCACTGTTTCAAATTCCTGCCTTTATTATGTCAGTATTAAAATGAGTTTGATTACTTGTCCAGATAGTGCCCTTTTTAACTATAGAACTGATCTAACAGGATGTATCATTGAAGCCAGTAGATCTTAGCTGGTTTAAAGTTTATTGCAATGACTGTTTATTTGTATCTGTACAGGTTTTGGGATTTGCCACCTCTCCTGGGAGACTTTCCACAATGGCATTTATCCTAAATGCGCTCACCTGGTAAGTTGGGTTATATATTTCTGACATCCTCAAACCAAACACTTTTAGAGTGGGGAGCTGCCTCTTGATAAAAACAGAAGCATTTAGATTATCAGTGCTGAAAATTGAAGGCCAAACTAAAGAAGGTTGGGATTAGGCATTTGACATGATTAACTGAGTAGCCCAAAATATCTGACTGCCAGGTGGACAGATTGAGCAACAGAACAATGGGTACACATCTGAAAGACCAGGCTGGAAACACAGTGTCCAGGAGAAAATCTACCTGTGTAATTCCTAAGAGAGGACACTGAGTTGATAAAATGTAATGAAATCAGGTTGGTGGAACTGCTCAAATCCCACGGAGAGATCATGAAGAGGAGTCTAGAGAAAAAGCATAGAAGCAGGGCCATACAGAAACATGAAGCTGAGGTTGATAAATTATAAGCCAAATAATGGTGATATCTAATGCAAAAAAAAAGTGAAATTGGAGTTGTTTAAGGTGTAATGAAGAAAAGAAAAGAATTTCAAGAGGGAGTATATCCAAGGAAAATGTGCTTAAAAGTTACAGTTTTAGAAAGGAAAAACACATAGTTTTAATTACCCAAATTTTCTACGACTCACAACTATTCATTTAGTGACCATTCGAAGTTCCAATGATAGTTTTAAAAAGTTACGTAGGACCATTTTTTCACATGACCGTTGCAACAACCCTATGGTCAGGTGATCAGAATTCAGGCAACTGGCATGTACTTATGACAGTTGCATTGTTCCATTGTCATATGATCACAATTTGTAATCTTCCCAACCGACTTCAGACAAAGTTAAGGGGGTGAAGCTAGATTTGCTTAATGACCACATGATTCATTCAACAGCTGCAGTGATTTGTTTAACAACTGTGGCAAAAGGGTCGTAAAATGGGGGGGAACTCACTTAACAACTGCCTTACCTAGCAATGGAAATTTTGGGCTCAGTTATGGTTGTAAGTCGAGGACTACTTGTATATAATTATCCTTGTAGACCAGTGATGGCTAACCTTTTTGCTGTCGCATGCCAAAAGCAGGGGGGGCGCGGGGTGGGTCGCACGTGTGTGTGCCCACACCCATAATTCAATGCACCCCCCCCCCCCCTCCATCCAGCCCCCCCCCCCCCTGTTCCCCCCCCTTTTGGCACACAATGGCCCAGTGGACCCAGTAGGCCCATTTTTCGCCTCCCCACGCTCCAGAGACTTTCTTGGAGCCTGGGGAGGGCAAAAACAGCCCTCCCCACCCCACCCGGAGGCACTCTGGAGGCCGGAAACGGCCCATTTCACGACTTCCAGTGGGCCGGAAGGCCCGAAAATCAGCTGGCTGAGCTAGGGCAACACTCGCGTGCCCACAGATATGGCTCCACATGCCACCTGTGGCACGCGTGCCATAGGTTCGCCATCACGGTTCTAGACTTTGAAGACTATGGTAAAAAAAAAAGAAAGACATACGTATAAAACAGAAAAATAAGGAAATTTTTATATTAAAATTTTAGTTTATTTTCAGCTACCAATTTTTTAAAGGGCCTAAAATTGCTGAAATAGAAAGGAATATAAAATGTTTTATCTTTGGAGTCTAAATTTTCCTTTAATTTCTTGGCTTTCTCACATAGCTTGGATTAAGATTTAAATGAAAATCCATGAGATATACCTTGCATAGCTTATATGGAAAACAGAATGTTGAAGATGGTGTGTCTTAAGGTTTGACACAATTCTTTTCTTTTCTTCTGCAGTGCCGTCGGTTTATTGTATTTTATTCGACGAGGAAAGCAGTGCTTGGATTTCACCGCCACGGTTCATTTTTTTCACCTGTTGGGCTGCTGGATTTACAACGGATCCTTTCCAACAGCTTTGACCTGGTGGCTTGTACATACTGTGTGCACAGCACTCATGGCTGTGATTGGGGAATACCTCTGTATGAGGACAGAACTGAAAGAAATCCCATTAAATTCAGCCCCCAAATCCAGTGTATAGGCCGTCAGGGGCACTGTGTTTCTCCATCAGTATCAGCATCTTGGTGCTAGTTTGTGAAACGTGGAAATGCAACTGAAGAAATCCCGAGGGCCTTAAGTATATTAGATGGGAGACTGACATTTGCAGTACTTTGATAGGCCAAGGTGAATATAGTTTTTACATAACTCATTTTGTATTACTATGCAGACGTGCCCAATTTGCCAAAGTGATCAGACTCAAGTGTTGGATAAAATGCATAAAAGACATGGGAAGCGGACTGATTTTGAGAAGCAATCACTGAGTGTGATGGGTCACCATTTCCTTTCTCTATAGTGAACATCAGTTGACTAGAGAACTCCCAACAATTGCACAATAGACACTTTGTTCCCTTTTATCCTTCATATACTTGTTTTTACTTCCACTTTTTGAATTAAAGGATCAAGGAGATCAAACAATGCAGAAAGGCACAGTACCATTATTCACTTGGCTGCTCAGATTCCAGAAAGCTTATTAACAGCAAAGAGTAATGTGACTGTATTTATTGGACTGGAAAAAAAATACTATTTTATTTAATAAAGACTTCAACTTTCCATTGAAGTTTTATGATGTATTCATCAGGCTGGATCGTATCACCTAATATGACAGTAGAAATGAGAACGTTATCAGTCGGTAATACAATTTAGAAAACCATGGCCTAGACCAGGGGTCCCCAACCTTGGCAACTTTAAGACTTGTGGACTTCAACTCCCAGAATTCCTCAGCCAGCAAAGCTGCTCTCTCGCAAAGCTGGCTGAGGAATTCTGGGAGTTGAAGTCCACAAGTCTTAATGTTGCCAAGGTTGGGGAGCCCTGGCCTAGACTTTTAAACTACTGGCTTCAAAAAGGGGAACAAGGACGAACCGCTCTTGTTCACAATCTGGCATAGAGAGGTAACTGCCTCCTGGTCACATACCCCGAGACAGGAGATGTTTCAAATGAGTCCTCTTTGTTTACCGCAATGAATGTTTTATGTTGAAGATTCACTCTTCGTAACCAAGGAAACTTGCAAGCTGTTGTGCAGGGCACAAAAAAACAGGATGGTTTCTTTTTGTAACTACTACTCCTGTCAGGATAGACTTGTTTTGCATATCATTGTAATTGTCTTCTTAGGATGGAACCTGAGTAAACTCTGTCCTTCAGAAATAATATTGACTTCCTGTGAAAAGAAAGGGTGCGAAGGGAAGGTTCATCTATAATGCACCCCAGGGTTGCTGTATTTTTTTATTTTATTTTCTTTTAAATGTTACTTTTTTTTGGATATATCCCAGAGTTTTCCCTTTGTATATAAATATTTGGGAATGCTAATAATTTGTATCGGTTACAGTTGGGAAGCTAATGCTTGTAATGATTTAAGATGAATAATTTTGGAACATGAACTTTATAAACCAGGGCTGTCAAACTAGTGACCCGTGGGCCAGATGCATCATGCACTGGCCACGCCCACGCCCGGTTTAGCAAAGAGGGGAAAAGTCCTGATACGTCATGTGACACCACTGTGACGCCACAAGTTTGACACCCCTGTTAAAAACCATGTCTCAAAGCGCTTAGGTGGGATCCATTGACAACTTATAAAGAAACCTCGAAGTTCTGCCAAAATAGCATGTTCTGATCCACATTCAGTACTTAAATATAGATTTGGGCAGAAGGAAAATCCTTGCACCGTAGCTGGGAAATATAGGTGAGTCACACTGCCTTCATCCAATGTTAACATAAGCATAACAGTATATTTGTTGAATTATAGCTGCATTAACATCACTTCTTCCAGAAGATGGCACTGCTTTCTTTTGAGACAGCAGTGCAAGCCACTGCAATTCCTGTTGTTGGCTAAGGTATTATGCAATCTGTCTGCAGTACTTATGTGTATGAGCACATGTGCACTCAAGGCATTCGCTTTCCTTTGGGAGTATCATAATAGCATACCTAACGCAGCAAAGGAGATTTGCAGCCATTTCAATAAATCTCTGTAGACTAACATTGACTAAAGACTAGAATCTAATTAGGCAGACAATGACAATCTTAGTGCTGAGAGTTTTTCCATCCCCATTATTTGAGATCTATTTAGCAGATGTGATATTAATGATATGCTTTGAAGAAAAGCTAGGTTTCACATTTATTTAAGATCGAAGGCTGTGTTTGGAATTCAGGAACATGTTTAAATAAGGCAAAGTGAAGAAGTCGTTAAAAAGAAATGGGTTTGTTTGTTTGCAACTGATTTGACCCCACCTACCTTTCCATAAATTGACAGAACCAACAAGCAAAAGATGCTTTTTTTGGGATTGGAGATTGGAATGCCAGAGTTGAAAATAATAAGGAAACTGAATTTAATCATAAGGCCAAGGAAACCTAGAAAATTAAGCAAAATAGTGACTTTCTGCTAATAATGATGACAATAATTAGCTCCTGCTAATCAAATTATTTCTTGATTGCTGGCACAAGTCTTCAGATCACCAAAAGCATGCCTATGTGTATGGACATCACCTGATGGACTAAGCAGAATCAAATCAATTGTATCATTGACACAAGGAGATAGAAGACTTAGTTATAGCAAGAAAGATTGAAGTCCGACACGGATTGAAGATCCCAAACTGCTCGAGTACAAGATGTAAGTCAATTTCCATGTGATCTTGAGCGTATATCCATCATTCTCAAGAAGAATATCAAGATTCTCTTCAAAATCCTGGCCCTTATTGACAGGAAACCACAGGAACAATAGAATGAAGTCAAAGAGGTTGTTAAAGATTGGTGTGGAAAGTTCCTGAACTCAGAAGGAAATTTCATCCTTAAATTAGTCTAGTAAGGGACACTAATGTACAGATAGCAAAAGTTGTTCTCAACACACGACTATAAATTGGGACTGGAGCAGTGGTGAAATCTACTGGTTCTGTGGGCATGGCTTGGTGGTGGTGGTGGTAATGTGACGGTGGGCATGGCCAATTTTTTTTTAAACCATTTTTTCTACAACCTCTTTGGCGAAGAGGTTGTAAAAAAATGCTTTCAAAAGGCTTTGATGATCCCAGCTGAGTTGCCTGATAGGTAGAGGCTTTTTTTCTTTTAAATACCTCTGATGATCAGGCAACTCAGCTTGGATCGTCAGAGGCATTTAAAAGAAAAAAAGAGTTTTTTTCTTTTAAAAGCCTTTGACAATCCCAGCTGAGCTGCGCGATCATCAGAGGCTTTTTTTTTTAACTTTTAAAAGCATTTTTTGGCCGAAGAGGTTGTTAAAAAAGGCTTTTAAAAGTAAAAAAAAAAAAGCCTCTGATGATTGTGCGGCTCAGCTGGGCATGGGGGAGGCAGGGATTTTTGCTACCGGTTCTCCGAACCACCCGCCTCCATCGCTACCGGATCGGGCGATCCGGTCCAAACAGGGAGCATTTCAACCCTGGACCTGAGTGAGGTTGTAAATCATTGTAGTTATAAATTGAGGCATCCACATGACAGGACCCAATTTTTTTAATGGTTTTTACAGTGGCCATTAAGTGAACCATGTGTTCGTAAGAATCATGCAGTTATTAAGCAAATCCATTCTCCTGAATGCTTGCGGTTATTTTTTGCCAGAAACTGGCAAAAAATGCCAGAAACAAAAAAAATATATTGCAAATTGCAGTCACATGACTGGGATGCTACAGCTGGTCACGAATGCAAGCTGATTGCCAAGCACCCCAAATGTTCATGTGACCATAGGGAGGGGGTTCCCATGTTTTAAGATAGACGGATACCCTTTCTGAAGCCTCTGTAACTTTGAACAGTCATTAAATAATTGGTCATAAATCGAAGACTACCTGTAATGATTCAAAGATCAAACAAAAATGGAAGGAGTATACGGACATTCTCTACAGTGTGGATGTTAATATCCAAGATAGCCTTAGAAGATTTCATCTATTTACATGAATGTCAAATATTAGAAAATCAAGTTGGATCTAGAGATGGGAAGGCCTGGAAAAAAACCCAGAAAAATTGGCGGGGAAACAGGTTTTTTTCTGTTTTTCTGTTTTTTTCCATTTTTCTGTTTTTTCCGGAAAAATACTATGACTAAACGCCAAAGGCACATGGAACACTGTTATCTTCCCACCAAAGGTGGTCCCTATTTTTCTACTTGCATTTTTTACATGCTTTCGAACTGCTAGGTTGGCAGAAGCTGGGACAAGTAACAGGAACTCACCCCGTTATGTGGCACTAGGGATTCAAACCACTGAACTGCCGACCTTTCGATCAACAAGCTCAGCATCTTAGCCACTGAGCCACCGCGCCCCCAAAGGAATGTAGGGAACTTCAAAAGTTGAACTGCAATTCCCGCAAGCCTCAACCCAAATAGGCAGTTATAAGGGATACCCAGAGCAGCAATGAACAGTCAGTTCCATATTTCTTCATTGTTATTTTACAGCAAAGTTCATACTTCATTCAGGTGATTCTCTGAACATCCACCCAACCTGCCATACAGAAGTTTTCCTTAGAAAATTGCAAGATATTTACTTCTCACTAAATATTTCTTTCCATTTCAGAAATATTTACTGTAATACACATTGTATTTCGCAACATTCAGGGGAAGTTCAGGTAGGAGGAAAAAGTAGTTGTCAGGAATGGAGGAAAAGGAGTATCACAGCATTATTCCTTGCAAACATATGTAGATGGGTTGTTCCTTAAGGCTCCAGGGGTCTCCAACCTTGGCAACTTTAAGACTTATGGACTTCAATGGGAGCTGGCTGAGGAATTCTGGGAGTTGAAGTCCACAAGTCTTAAAGTTGCCAAGGTTGGAGACCCCGGCCTTAAGCTACCTCAGGGTTTTGGTCAATCTTCTTTAGCTCTGAAGTCATATACCAACATAATGTAAATCTCTTGCATGACTAATCATTCCTTTAAATACCTCTATAACAAGTAGAGCCTTGATAGTACAGTGGTTTAATGCACCCTGTTATTAACACAGCTGCCTGCAATTTCTGCTGGTTCGAATCTCTCCAAGGCTCAAGGTTGACTCAGCCTTCCATCCTTTCTAAGGTAGGTGAAATGAGGACCCAGTTTGTGGGGGCAATAAGCTGACTTTGTATAAAATATACAAAAGAATGAAGGCTATTGCTTAACGCATTGTAAGCCGCCCTGAGTCTCCGGAGAAGGGCGGCATATAAATCAAATTAAAAAAAAAAAAAAAGTCAATCATCAGTCTGTAATCTTCCTTTGGATATTTTGGGGAGCTCATTTTAGGTAGGTAATAAAACCATCATGTTCTGCTGAGAGAATCCAGTTATTTTAAAACCTCTTGCTACCCTCTTGAGTTCCTCAACATTTTCTTTCCTAAAATTGCAAATCTATTAATTACAGGAGTTACATCTATATACAAAAAGAAAGTTGCTAAAAAGTTCTTTAAATGTAGAAATCAGTACAACAGTTGGAATGAAATGTTTACCAAAGCAAACCCTAATTAGCAGGTCAAGATACAAAAATTAGTGACACCATTCCACTTATGCCACAGTTTCCTATGCAAGCTGTAATTTAGTAATTTAATTTTGAGATCCTTAAGGCATGCACAACTTTTGATTGTCAAAATTCAATTGGAACGCTTACCATATTTACAACTGACCTCACTGGAAAAATTAAATATTAGGAAATTCTGTTACCACAATCAAAAATTCACTAAAAAAGAAAAAAAACCACCACAAACAATATTTTCCAAATATTAATGGGAAAAAAGCATATGTTCATTTGTACAAAATCACAGATCTGTTGCCTTCATAAATTGAACCAAATGAGCATCAGAGTGATGCCTAATAAAAAAAGGGTTGGGACCTGGGATGAGGGTAAATTCTGGTAGTTACTGGAGATGCAGAGGTCAAAAAGATTGCCTTCAAATTTGATTTTTCTAGATTCCCTTTTCAACTTTTCCCAGACAGTCACCATCTCCTTCTGGCACACCCAAAGAGTAGCCATCGCACAATTATGAAATTCATTCCAATATCTGCAAAAGAAAAAGGAAACAATAAGTTATTTACCACCAATAGAAGAGAATATTTGTAGTTCGGGGTTGAATTGTGGGGTCCTTGGTGCTCTCTGAGATCCCATCAAATGCAGAGAGACTAAGGACTCCACAGTTCTTTGCCACAAAAGTCACAGATAGACATGGGCCATCTATGAAGAACATAACCTGTCTATCCATCTGCCCATCCACCACCCATAAAAGGTAAAGGTAAAGTTCCCCTCGCACATATGTGCTAGTCATTCCCGACTCTAGGGGGCGATGCTCATCTCCATTTCAAAGCCGAAGAGCCAGCACTGTCCAGAAATGTCTCCATGGTCATGTGTCCAGCATGACTCAATGCCAAAGGTGCACGGAACACTGTTACCTTCCCACCAAAGGTGATCCCTATTTTTCTATGTGCATTTTTTACGTGCTTTCGAACTGCTAGGTTGGCAGATGCTGGGACAAGGAGCTCACCCTGTTACACGGCACTAGGTATTCGAACTGCCATAATATCTAATATCCATATATCTGGTTAATTGGTCTATGCATTTATGATCTACTTTAGGTCTTTTTTTTAATAAATGACCTGCTTCAATTCTAACCATTTTAGAAAGTCAACTCTGAGGAGCAAAGAAACCTATCCACACACAATGACTATAATTAATACATAGTTCCTCTGTACAGAATCTTTTCCAGGTCACAGGAGGATACTGTTCCAAGTATGCAGCAGGATCTCCAAAATAATCCTAATGGAGTATTTAATACTATGCAGCTGAAAAGTGAAATTTAGTGCCTGCCATACAAGACTATAAACTCCGGAAAGGTTTATCTAGTCAAGAATGAGAAATTTTCTAATGGTTTTGGGGGCATTATTACACGGCACTAGGTATTCGAACTGCCATAATATCTAATATCCATAATATCTGGTTAATTGGTCTATGCATTTATGATCTACTTTAGGTCTTTTTTTTAATAAATGACCTGCTTCAATTCTAACCATTTTAGAAAGTCAACTCTGAGGAGCAAAGAAACCTATCCACACACAATGACTATAATTAATACATAGTTCCTCTGTACAAAATCTTTTCCAGGTCACAGGAGGATACTGTTCCAAGTATGCAGCAGGATCTCCAAAATAATCCTAATGGAGTATTTAATACTATGCAGCTGAAAAGTGAAATTTAGTGCCTGCCATACAAGACTATAAACTCCGGAAAGGTTATCTAGTCAAGAATGAGAAATTTTCTAATGGTTTTGGGGGCATTATAGGGAAGTCGAAACAAGCAGCTAAATAAGGAGAATCCCACATGATGCAATTGCTATTTTCTGACGGTTTTAAATTTTTTTAGATTGAGCAATTTTCCATATCTATTCAGCTAGAGCCTATTTTAGAGTTTCAGAAACACTTTTTGTAAGCTTCCTACCTGGAAATTGCAAGACATATTTCCACTTATTTTTAACAGTTATAGTCAGGCAGGATTATAGGGGCAGCAATGAAGGGTTTCAGAGGTAACCCTTCATCTAGGTATTTTTCAAACTTCAGATGGGTAGTCTTCAACTCCCAGTCCATCCATCTTAACATTGCCAAATCTTTAAAAACTCTGGTTTATGTGGATGCAGACCAGTGGTGAAATTCAAATTTTTTTACTACCGGTTCTATGGGCATGGCTTGGTGGACGTGGTGTGGTTTGGTGGGTGTGGCTTGACTTGGCTTGGTAGGCATGGCAGGGGAAGGATACTGCAAAATCTCAATTCCCACCACACTCCAGGGGAAGGATATTGCAAAATCCGCATTCCCACCCTACTCTGGGGCCAGCCAGAGGTGGTATTTGCTGGTTCTCCGAACTACTCAAGATTTCCGCTACCGGTTCTACAGAACTTGTCACAACCTGCTGGATTTCACCCGATGCAAACCTTCAAAGTTCATTTTTTTTTCTTCCCTTCCTTGTTTATTTACGAAAATTAGAACTCATGGTCTCCTGATTTCTAGTCTGATGCTTTAACCCAACACCAAATTGGTGATATACTTACAATCTTATATTGTGCTTTCATATATATATATATTGTGCTTTAATATATATTGTGCTTTTATGGTGTGCTAAAGCAGCCTTAGTGAAAGTGCTATATTCCAGAAGTTTTTTGTTCAAACTTTCAGACTGAGAGCAAGAAATAGCGTTGGTACCACTTTAAACTACCAATATGGCTGTTTTAAGAGAAATGTTTATCTAAACAACCCATCACTATATATTCTTACTATATTCTACATCAATGTAATGTTTTTCTCCATTTGTTTTTATTTTGTACATTGAAATCCATAGCATAATAAGAAACCATTATAAAATTGACAAGATAGCTTTTGCCAACTTGCATGAAAAATATTAAAGCATTGGATGGTTTCAAATATTAAATTATCCTTTGGAGGGAGCCTCCACCATGCGGTGGTGCCCAGAGCAATTGCTTTCCCCTTAAAAAGTCCCTGAAATCACACTAAAAGAGCCTCTAGTTGATTGCCAGCTGTCAAGAACTCATTAAATAGAAGAAATGTGGTAGAAGAAATCTTCTAAGACAATAATGAGAGAGATTGGTGCAAAACAAGGTAAACTCTGCTTTGATTTTCTATGGTTGTTTCCTCTGAATCCTGCAGCAATGTGGGGGGGAGGGTAGAGTAAGGGGAAGCAATCCAGTGTAAAAGCAGTTGGATGTTATCTGGTTCCATATTTAAAAAAATTAAAAAGGAAGGAGGAGAGTAACTAGTAAGGACTGAAGTGGCAATTTGTCAGAGGATCGGGATTCTCTCTTTTGACTCTTCCCCTTTCAACTGGATAATTTCAATTTCCCAATGCCTGGTTTTTACAGACTTTATTTGTTTGGGAATCAAATTATGTCACATGCTCTGTCAGTTTTAAATTTTGGGAGATGTTGCACAATTCAACCCCTCTAAAGGCAAATACACCAAAACAAAACTAATTCTATTATAGATCACTTTCCAAAGCATTCATTCTAATCATATTTGTCACCAATGAGCCTTTTCTTATTGTAGACGACAGAAACGCAGAAGCTTCCTCAGAAAAGAGGCCAGTCTTGGATGCACAACAGTACTGTAGAACAGTGGTCACCAACCGGTGGTCCGTGGACCACTGGTGGTCCGCAAGAAAATTTTGGTGGTCCTCAGAAAAATTATTTGCATTTTTTATATTGCACTAAATCAGAGTTCCTCAAACTATGGCCCCTGGGCCGGATCATGCAATGAACATTTGTGTTGCTGCAGAGAGTCTCCCCTTCTGGGTCTTTTTGTGCAGATTGGAGGGGGGCAGAAATTCCGACTTGGGGTCTGCTTCAGCCTCCTGGTGTGGGGCTTTGGGTGAAGGCTGGAGGGAAGCGCCACTGGTGGCGAAGAGCCAGAGGGCCTCGTTCCAGTGGAACTGCCTCATGGCCTGGAACTGGCTGACCATCTCAGCCTGCTGAGCCTCCAGGCACTGGTACCTGGCCTTGCACTCCTGCAGGTCTTCCCTCTGCTTGGAAAGCCTATGCTTGTAGTCCTCAGTGAGATGCTTGTGGTGAGACTCCTCGGTCAGATCCAATTTGAACTGAGCTGTTTTACCAACTCTTTCTCATGGTGGCTGCTTAGCTCCAGCAACTGCTTCATGTTGGGGCCCTAAGGAGCCTGGGCAGGCAGGCAAGGAGTAGCAAGTAGAGGCTGGCAAGGCACCCCTCGACATGAGTGACATTGAATTGGCCATGCCCACCCAGCCGATGACCAGCCACATGACCACCTTGCCACACCCACCCAGCCGGTTAGGCAGATCATATTAGTGGTCCACAGGATTTAAAATTATGAATTTACTGGTCCCTCAGGTCCGAAAGGTTGGTGACCCCTGCTTAGAAGGAAGACTAAGATTTTTGTCTTTGTCTGATTCAACTCTTGTATTGCAACAATAAGGACATTGCTTATTTTGTGCTAGAACCCCTCAGAAACCCTAATTCAGGGGTGGGCTGCTGAGGGTTTGCAGGGGTTCGGGAGAACCTCTAGCTAAGATTCTGTACAGTTTGGAGAACCTCCCCAAATCCCACTCCTGGCTGGTCCTGCCCGCCCCACCCCACCCCTCCCAGGAGTCCCCATGTGGCCCATAAATTCAGGGTGTATGCAGAGGTTCGGGGAGGGCAAAAAATGGGCCTACCGGAAGTTCGGGAAGTGAGCCTCCAGAGCCTGGGGAGGCCTTTTTTGCCCTTCCGGAGGCTTGAGGAAAGACTCCGGAACCCGGGAAGGGCGAAAATCCCCCCACCCCGGCCGTGGTGCAGGAGCCCAACTAGGTGACGCCAGTGATGGGTTTCAAAAATTTTTACTACCGGTTCTGTGGGTGTGGCTTGGTGGGCGTGGCTTGGTGGGCGTGGCAGGGGAAGGAAACTGCAAAATCTCCATTTCCTCCCCAATCCAGGGGAAGGTTACGGCAAAATCCCCATTTCCTCCCGATCAGCTGGGACTTGGGAGGCAGAGAATAGATGTGGGTGGGGCCAGTCAGAATTTTTACTACCGGTTCTCCGAACTACTCAAAATTTCCGCTACCGGTTCTCCAGAACTGGTCAGAACCTGCTGAAACCCACCTCTGGGCCACACCAACCATGGCCACGCCCACCCAGCAACCAGGTAGAGAACCCCTTGCTAAAATCTTTGAAGCCCACCCCTGCCCTAATTGTTCCTGATGCATAGGTACTAAGAAGACTTATGAGAGTCACACAACAGAGTGCTTCCTCACAAAGAGGAAAAAAGAAAAATACTACATGAGAGCAGGAAAATGCCATCAACACAGCAAACGTGTTGTCCACTAGGAATTTGTGACCAATATAACATGGGTATGGAAGGACAAACTTGTCAGTAAAGTATTCATGTATTATTTAATGATTTGCTTATTTCTTTGCCTTAAACTTATCCTCTAATGCTAGCAAACACTCAGGGTGGCTAACAAAATTGAGGAAAAACAGAGTATAAAAAGGTTTAA